ATAATTACTCTAGTTCACATGAGTCTGCCAATCGTAACAATACTTGTACTAATTATGATTATGGTTCTAATAATGATGATAATTTGTCAGATCTGTCATATTCATCTCTTGAGGATGGTATCAGATCACCAGATGATAAATATCAGTCTTCTTATGAGTCATCAAGTTCAGATTGTATCTCTGTTCAAGAAAGTGACTGTAATGATACTCTTATATTGCCAAGTTTGCGCCAAAAATTACAAGGTTGGGCTGTTAAATTTAGAAGCAATTTAACAGTTGAAACAATAGAAAACTTGCTAGAGATTCTAAGGGATGAACAATTACCAGATATACCTAAGTCAGCAGCCACTTTACTAGAGACCAAGTCAAATCGGAATGTAACAGTAATGGAAAGCTTAAAAAACACAAATGGATATTACGTGTATTTTAGTATTGAAGAATGTTTAAAATAGGTGATCACAGAAGAATACAATGAAAATGTTATACGTTTATTGTTCAACATTGATGGATTACCACTCTATAATAATTCAAGTCAACAGTTTTGGCCCATATTAGCACTAGTTCTACACAATGAATATGAATCGCAACCGTTTATTGTGGCGGTATACAGCGGTGATTCTAAACCAAAAAATGTAGACGACTACTTGAAGGATTTGGTTACAGAATTAAAAATATTAATTTTAAATGGTCTAACTATAGGAAGCAGAAAATTTAGAATTGAACTAGTTGGCTTTTCTTGTGATACTCCAGCAAGATCATTTATTAAAAAATGTAAAGGCCATGGAGGTTTTTACGCATGCGAACGTTGTGAGACTAGAGGAAAAACTAAGAACAAAAAGCGAGTGTATCCTAGTATTATATCCAGAAAACGTACAAAAAACGCATTTATAAAAAAAAAAACAAAATGAGCACCATTTAGAAGGTAGTTCACCATTGTTATGTATACCAAACTTTGACCCGGTGAAATCTGTGTTTTTAGATTCGATGCATTTATTATACTTAGGAATTACAAAATGGTTATTGCAGCATTATATTGGAAATAAAAAGAGAGTCAATCCAATGTGTAAGCTTCCAAGACATGCCATTGAAAAGTTAAATTTAAATTTAAAGAAATCAGTTAAATTTATACCTAAAGAATTTCAAAGAAAAAAGATGGATTTAGATGGATTTAGCTATTGGAAAGCTACTAAGTTTCGATTTTTTCTACACTATTGTGGACCATTAGTGCTTTACAAGATTCTACCTAAACAAATGTACAGACATTTTCTACTCCTGTTCGTTGCATGTAGAATACTGTGTGACTCTGAATTATATATTGAGAATG